AATCACTGAGGATTTGTTTGAAACTTTAGTTTTCAGGCATACACGCTGCAACTACAATTTCATGAACTCATCACAGATCAGTGGGTGCGGTGAGATCCAGCCAGCTTTACTACAGCTTGAGTTAAGTGTCAAAGGATCTGCAATGCACCACCGCACACAACAGAATGAACAAATGTATTATACATTGTTTTGTAATGCACAAATAAACACAACACTATTTACATTTGTACACTGCATCAAAATATTAAATATTGTGTTTAAAAAATGCTCTATTTATTCATAACCCTTTACACTTACTTGCACAGGCACATTACAGAACAAAAACGGACACTATCAGAAACCTTTCCAAATGTGTTTTACCACCCATTATAAATGAAGTCAAATAGTGAACAGCTGACTTGCCTGCAGTAATGCAGTATGATGTCAGGAGTGATGTTCCTGTTTTTCACAAGTGTAGGAATCAAGTTTCTCTTAGTCTCTGCGCACTGCCTAAACACTGACTGGATGGAGACCTAAATGGAAATAAATTGTCAAAGGACACAAAATTCTGTCCATATTGTGTGGTTTTAAAATAGATTAGTAAATGATGACACAAACTAAAAAACAAACAAAAAACGTGTTTTTGTCACACATGGGCTAAATAATGAAATACTCTGCAGAAGTGCAGCACTGACCCCGAGCTTGCCCAGCTGAACGCCCCACTCTGCATCAGTGATAACAGACAGAAACTTCCCCCTCTCCTCTTCATCCTTATACAAAAAACTTAGATGGGCTCCCACCATTGCAACAACCTACAGAAGAGAAACAGATGCATTATTATTATGCTTAAAATCAGAAAACGTGGGGGTGCTTGGCCATGCGAATGCTGCTGCCATAACCCTGAGCGGATGAAAACAGAATATGCTCTTCTGCTGAAACGCTCACTTTTAAGCGCGCTTTTTGATCGGGAGGAGTTTGAAGATCAAAGTCAGTCACTCTTGAGAACATCTTACATATATCATTATTTGCTATCATTGTCATTATTGCTTTACATTATTGTGAGTCAGTGCATATTTCCGCAGTAGTGTTTTCAACAGTAATTTCCTAGATTCGTTCACTAATATTGGCACCACTGGTAAATATGATCAAAACAGGCTGTGGAAAAATGCTGTTTATGCTCTTGGTATTTAATTCAAAATATTCACAAAAGCTGACCTTAATTATAGTAAAATAACCAAATATTTGTAAAATAAACACTGCCGGTCAACAGTTTGGAGCTGGTAAGAATCTGTTTTTGAAAGAAGTCTACTTCTAAAAATTCTACTTTAATGCAGCTCTAGGTGATGCCAGCTAAAAAGGAAAGATTAACTATATGTGCAATAGGTGTTTAACTACATCTATTTAGTAAGTCATTATTACTAATGACTAATTACTATTCTGATCAAAGGAATTAAATAAATTAAATAAACAGATGAATCCTGCACATTTAGGCCTAGAAAATACAAGAAAGTCAAATAATTAAGTAAAGAAAGAAAAGAAAGTAAGGTAAACTGGATTCATTTTGATTTTATGATGACTTTAATACTTTGTGTTAAAGGTTTTACAAACAGTAGGAAGCACAACTAATAAACGACAAACCAAACTTCAGCCTGACCTTAATCTTTTCATAATTTTGCCAGGCACTGGCGATCATCTTCCAGAGAATATCCACAACCGCTGCCTTGGGCAAAATGGTACAAAGCCCGATGGCCAGATCAGAGTCGACCACTCTCCAGTTGAGCACCTGTAATACAGGGTTAATGAACAGACTGATCTAAATCATTCCTTGGAAAGAAGCCAAGATAAATGCACATCTTAAGTGTCTTTGCACACCTTCTGTAACAAGGAGACCACAACCACAGTGACAGACGAGAGAACCGTTTTCTCTATCCTGTCAAGAGTCTGTTTGTCTCTGGCCAAGCGGTTGCTAGAATGAAGCTGAAAATGAGACAAATACACCATCAACAAAAGCACTTGTTTACATTAGTTGTAACTCAACTACTTCACAGGATTCTCACCTGCATGCTTAGAGAGATATCCATGTTGTTAGAAACAAAGTGCATTAATATGCTGCCGTAGGATTCCATCAGCAGTCGCAGAGCCAGTTCTAGCTGACTGCACTCCTGCAGCATCTGCAGCATAGAGGCCAAGGGATTGAGCAAAGGCCCAACCAAATCAGTGCCTGTCAAAGTGGACAGATATCTCGTGAGCAAGGCCTCAGAAACTTCTTTTTTCCCCAGAAATCAGTCAGAAATCACACAGACTGTCTCCTTAACATCTGCTGACACTTTATTCTGATGCTCTCCCAACAGATGTTCTACTGACTATAAGTCACTTTGCAAGCACACGATAACTTATTCTACTAACCCTAACCTAACAGTCTACTAATACTCTAATGAGAGTTAGTTGATGTGTAGATGCAAAGTTACTTAGAGTTAGTAGAATGTCTAAAGTGGACTATTGAAATCTCACACTACACTTTTAAACCTTAAACAAGTACAAAGCTTAAACAACTAGCAGCGCATTGTGTAACACAAGCCCCTTTCCCACTGGCCCCCTAAAGCTGGTAGTCTTGAACAGAGAACCACAGAAGCTACAATCAGTCTCACACTCTGAACAGCTTAATGCAGAATTGACAAATTATGCCAAGCACTGTATTAGGGCTGAGCGATATGTAAAAATATTGTTTGGATAATTGTCCACCCACCCCAGCAATTTTCAACCATCTTTAATTGGTTACAATGTCAGAAGTACATACTGTATAGATAAACAATATAAACTCTTTCTCCGTGTAACCTGCACCTGTTTATATGTCAGTAAAAAGGTTTTTGACAGTCTTTTGCTTACAACTACACCGCAAACTCTTACCTTAGGGTTAAGCATAGAGTGAGAAGTACTCTACGAACAGTCTCACTGTATACGACTCAAGGCAATAGGAAGACACTCTTACCTACTTTGAGATCACAGTATGACAGGCAGGAACAGCCAAAAGGATAAAGCCTTGATTCTGGAATAAAGGACAAAGTTTCGTGTTTACAAACACGATAAGCAACACATGGCCAACTATTTACTATAATAACAATTTTCACCTTTGAGTGAACTATCCCTCTAAGCACATTATATAGAGTAAAATGTGCTTGTATTTGGTAAATGAAGAGGTGTCAATTGCAAGTTCAGTATGGTGTGCTGCAAGGCTTAGTACTAGGACCTTAGCTTTTCATGCTGTATAAGCTACCTTTGGGAGACATTATCATGACTTTTGAAGTTAGCTTTCAGGGTTATGCTAATGATATTCACCTTTACATTTCCTTGAGGCCTGGTGAAACCTATCAACTTTCTAAACTAATGGACTGCATTTGAAATCCACATTAACACTTGTAAAACAGTATTCTTCCATCTTACAAACATTTCTAAGTTACGACATGTGCTCTCAAAATAAAGACGGTTAACATTAATATTGTGAAATATTACGTGATTTTTCTATTTAAATATATTTTATTGAAGCATTGGCATATGGTAGAGAGTGATCCCAACCTTAAGAAATGTTTCGACAAACCACCTCGTTTAGTTCACAAGAAAACACCTAATCTTCGAAATCTTTTGGTTAGAGCGGATTTGAAACCTGCTCCTCATTTTTTGAATAATATACCATATGGGAATTACAGATGCGGTAACTGTCAACAGTGTAATTTCACATATAAGACGTCGACCTTTACACATCCGTACACGGCGAAAATTTTTAAAATTCGAGGCACTATTTCATGTAAGACGGCTAATGTAGTTTATCTGTTACGTTGCCCCTGTGGCCTATGTTACATTGGTAAGACCAGCAGACCTCTAAAAACTCGCATCTCTGAACATCGATGTGCAATCAGACATCGCGATCCAAAAAGTCCGGTAGCACAGCACTTTGCAGATTCAAGACACTCAGTTTCCACTCTTCAGTACATAGGGATTGAAGTAGTGAAGTGTTCGCGTCGCGGAGGTGATATCAACAAATTGCTTTTACAGCGTGAAGCCTTTTGGATATATACATTAGATACGTTAATCACTGAGGATTTGTTTGAAACTTTAGTTTTCAGGCATACACGCTGCAACTACAATTTCATGAACTCATCACAGATCAGTGGGTGCGGTGAGATCCAGCCAGCTTTACTACAGCTTGAGTTAAGTGTCAAAGGATCTGCAATGCACCACCGCACACAACAGAATGAACAAATGTATTATACATTGTTTTGTAATGCACAAATAAACACAACACTATTTACATTTGTACACTGCATCAAAATATTAAATATTGTGTTTAAAAAATGCTCTATTTATTCATAACCCTTTACACTTACTTGCACAGGCACATTACAGAACAAAAACGGACACTATCAGAAACCTTTCCAAATGTGTTTTACCACCCATTATAAATGAAGTCAAATAGTGAACAGCTGACTTGCCTGCAGTAATGCAGTATGATGTCAGGAGTGATGTTCCTGTTTTTCACAAGTGTAGGAATCAAGTTTCTCTTAGTCTCTGCGCACTGCCTAAACACTGACTGGATGGAGACCTAAATGGAAATAAATTGTCAAAGGACACAAAATTCTGTCCATATTGTGTGGTTTTAAAATAGATTAGTAAATGATGACACAAACTAAAAAACAAACAAAAAACGTGTTTTTGTCACACATGGGCTAAATAATGAAATACTCTGCAGAAGTGCAGCACTGACCCCGAGCTTGCCCAGCTGAACGCCCCACTCTGCATCAGTGATAACAGACAGAAACTTCCCCCTCTCCTCTTCATCCTTATACAAAAAACTTAGATGGGCTCCCACCATTGCAACAACCTACAGAAGAGAAACAGATGCATTATTATTATGCTTAAAATCAGAAAACGTGGGGGTGCTTGGCCATGCGAATGCTGCTGCCATAACCCTGAGCGGATGAAAACAGAATATGCTCTTCTGCTGAAACACTCACTTTTAAGCGCGCTTTTTGATCGGGAGGAGTTTGAAGATCAAAGTCAGTCACTCTTGAGAACATCTTACATATATCATTATTTGCTATCATTGTCATTATTGCTTTACATTATTGTGAGTCAGTGCATATTTCCGCAGTAGTGTTTTCAACAGTAATTTCCTAGATTCGTTCACTAATATTGGCACCACTGGTAAATATGATCAAAACAGGCTGTGGAAAAATGCTGTTTATGCTCTTGGTATTTAATTCAAAATATTCACAAAAGCTGACCTTAATTATAGTAAAATAACCAAATATTTGTAAAATAAACACTGCCGGTCAACAGTTTGGAGCTGGTAAGAATCAGTTTTTGAAAGAAGTCTACTTCTAAAAATTCTACTTTAATGCAGCTCTAGGTGATGCCAGCTAAAAAGGAAAGATTAACTATATGTGCAATAGGTGTTTAACTACATCTATTTAGTAAGTCATTATTACTAATGACTAATTACTATTCTGATCAAAGGAATTAAATAAATTAAATAAACAGATGAATCCTGCACATTTAGGCCTAGAAAATACAAGAAAGTCAAATAATTAAGTAAAGAAAGAAAAGAAAGTAAGGTAAACTTTTGATTTTATGATTTTATGATGACTTTAATACTTTGTGTTAAAGGTTTTACAAACAGTAGGAAGCACAACTAATAAACGAACTTCAGCCTTTCAGCCTGACCTTAATCTTTTCATAATTTTGCCAGGCACTGGCGATCATCTTCCAGAGAATATCCACAACCGCTGCCTTGGGCAAAATGGTACAAAGCCCGATGGCCAGATCAGAGTCGACCACTCTCCAGTTGAGCACCTGTAATACAGGGTTAATGAACAGACTGATCTAAATCATTCCTTGGAAAGAAGCCAAGATAAATGCACATCTTAAGTGTCTTTGCACACCTTCTGTAACAAGGAGACCACAACCACAGTGACAGACGAGAGAACCGTTTTCTCTATCCTGTCAAGAGTCTGTTTGTCTCTGGCCAAGCGGTTGCTAGAATGAAGCTGAAAATGAGACAAATACACCATCAACAAAAGCACTTGTTTACATTAGTTGTAACTCAACTACTTCACAGGATTCTCACCTGCATGCTTAGAGAGATATCCATGTTGTTAGAAACAAAGTGCATTAATATGCTGCCGTAGGATTCCATCAGCAGTCGCAGAGCCAGTTCTAGCTGACTGCACTCCTGCAGCATCTGCAGCATAGAGGCCAAGGGATTGAGCAAAGGCCCAACCAAATCAGTGCCTGTCAAAGTGGACAGATATCTCGTGAGCAAGGCCTCAGAAACTTCTTTTTCCCCCAGAAATCAGTCAGAAATCACACAGACTGTCTCCTTAACATCTGCTGACACTTTATTCTGATGCTCTCCCAACAGATGTTCTACTGACTATAAGTCACTTTGCAAGCACACGATAACTTATTCTACTAACCCTAACCTAACAGTCTACTAATACTCTAATGAGAGTTAGTTGATGTGTAGATGCAAAGTTACTTAGAGTTAGTAGAATGTCTAAAGTGGACTATTGAAATCTCACACTACACTTTTAAACCTTAAACAAGTACAAAGCTTAAACAACTAGCAGCGCATTGTGTAACACAAGCCCCTTTCCCACTGGCCCCCTAAAGCTGGTAGTCTTGAACAGAGAACCACAGAAGCTACAATCAGTCTCACACTCTGAACAGCTTAATGCAGAATTGACAAATTATGCCAAGCACTGTATTAGGGCTGAGCGATATGTAAAAATATTGTTTGGATAATTGTCCACCCACCCCAGCAATTTTCAACCATCTTTAATTGGTTACAATGTCAGAAGTACATACTGTATAGATAAACAATATAAACTCTTTCTCCGTGTAACCTGCACCTGTTTATATGTCAGTAAAAAGGTTTTTGACAGTCTTTTGCTTACAACTACACCGCAAACTCTTACCTTAGGGTTAAGCATAGAGTGAGAAGTACTCTACGAACAGTCTCACTGTATACGACTCAAGGCAATAGGAAGACACTCTTACCTACTTTGAGATCACAGTATGACAGGCAGGAACAGCCAAAAGGATAAAGCCTTGATTCTGGAATAAAGGACAAAGTTTCGTGTTTACAAACACGATAAGCAACACATGGCCAACTATTTACTATAATAACAATTTTCACCTTTGAGTGAACTATCCCTCTAAGCACATTATATAGAGTAAAATGTGCTTGTATTTGGTAAATGAAGAGGTGTCAATTGCAAGTTCAGTATGGTGTGCTGCAAGGCTTAGTACTAGGACCTTAGCTTTTCATGCTGTATAAGCTACCTTTGGGAGACATTATCATGACTTTTGAAGTTAGCTTTCAGGGTTATGCTAATGATATTCACCTTTACATTTCCTTGAGGCCTGGTGAAACCTATCAACTTTCTAAACTAATGGACTGCATTTGAAATCCACATTAACACTTGTAAAACAGTATTCTTCCATCTTACAAACATTTCTAAGTTACGACATGTGCTCTCAAAATAAAGACGGTTAACATTAATATTGTGAAATATTACGTGATTTTTCTATTTAAATATATTTTATTGAAGCATTGGCATATGGTAGAGAGTGATCCCAACCTTAAGAAATGTTTCGACAAACCACCTCGTTTAGTTCACAAGAAAACACCTAATCTTCATAAACGTGTGCAAACAATATACTTGCTCTTGTGAATTTATTTGGACGTTAATTACATTGTGCCAGCTGTCTCTTTAATAACGCGTGGGTTACATACATGTTGCTGCTGATTGGGCTGACATGTTTGACACACCCACCAAACAAGAGAAAACGCATCTCAAACCCCATTGCACACCGTTTCCAGGAAACATGTCGTTCAGACCGGAAACCGTAGCAAAACGGTGCACACCGGTTTGAGCTTGAACTTGCCCCAGCTGCTGCAGAGTAGCAAATAGCAAATCACGGTCCATGACTGTGATGTAACTAAACCCGACTTGTTAGTACCTCTGTCCCGCCCAAACTTCCTGTTTCAATAGGAGCTACATCAACACAGGTAATTAACTGTGGTTGCTTTGAAAATGCTCTTTAAGTGCTCTAGTGGGGAAAAAACGGAATTATCTTTGCATTCACACTGTTCCTGGCATTAGAAGTGGACTCGGATCTCTTTTTTGTTCCACTTTCCATAAACTGACTTGGATGCGGAACCATTTGAATGCTTCCTGTGCTAGAAAGTGTAATTTTTTTTCTTTGGCCAAATGTATTGTCTACAGTTTGTTGTTTTATCTGGAGGCCTACTGTATTCACTCTTTTATTTAGTCTCCATGTCCCATGAGCCCTTGAATTCCAGACAAAAACACTACTCTATTTGTAGCATCATATTTGTTTTTGAGGCTCTAACAGACAGCAAAAGTTCTATCCTTGTCTACTCCCCACATATCTTATAATCTTAACTGTGTGCTGCCGAAGATTTACAGTCTCGAAATAAATTACACACTCGACAATAACCCAGAGGTGAAAATAGAAGCTCTCCAGAGAAATCTGGAGAAACGAAATAACTCGCAAATGTTTGTTTGATGTCAAATCGGATTGATGTTGTTTTTTAGTCAGTGTGTTTGGAAGGTTTGGGTTAATAGTGCTTTCCTTTAAGATCCATAATGAACAGTCCTGTGGCTGTCCCATGTTGCTGCTGAGAGAGAG